GACTTCCTTAAAAAGCTGAAACAATAGAGTCTACAAGACATTTCCTGTGTTGGCACGGAGCAGCTGGGTGGTGGTGGTGTTGGGTGGATGTACTAGAGTGTTCGAGGAGGAAGAGGTTTTTTTTTCCAGTTTCTGCCTTGACATGATTGTAATTGTGCAGCAGGTGGAGGAAATGAAGCACTGGAGCGTTGGTTGAGCTGTGTTGGAGATTACTTTACCAAGTGGGTAGTTGTTTTTGCCAAAATCTTACTGTGCAGCCCTTGCTGAATTAACAACCTATTGTGCTGAAGGCTTTAAAGCCTTTAGCTCAAAGAATCCAATTTGGTCTTCTTTGTTTCAGGGATTGTTTCTAAAGATGAAATGGAGCCCAAGCCCCAGAGACCCCATGATGTCAATTTCATAGAGTTCACACAATCATCGTCTTCTTCTTTTTCTCTAACTGCTTGTAGTTGTTATTCGCTAAATGTTAAGGAATGGCACATTTAACCTCAATTTGCACTATTCCGCTGGTTTTTGTTGGTTTTATTTTTCAATTCTTTCAATTTTGGGGGTATTTCTACTAATAAACAACTGTTTTTGTTCTTATTTGCTAATACGGTAGTTTTTTTTTTCCCATAATGACCTAAACTCTGTTGCCCCCTTTTTTAATACTACTCCTACTCTAGGTTAGGAGTCATCCTGTGGACTAGGGCCCTATGTTCTTAAAATAAAAATAGTCATCAAGCGTGCCAAAAATTGTACTGTGACTGTGCTTTATGAGTCAGTTACATGGTGTGTACTATTGTATGTCCCAGTATTCAATATTATTACGTTGTTCAGGAAGTCTGTATCAAACAAGTAGCTCTTCCTATTACTAAGTGCCATTGAAGTAGCTCTTAGTTTTTTTTTTTTTAAAAAGTTGGTGACACCTGGTATTTGGAATCCAGCTGCTAACTAATAGTTGTTATCTTTTGGTGGACTTAAGCTGCTGCTGGGTAATTTTGAGCTATCTTGTTATCCTATTTTAGCTTTGTGGCTAACTCTGTGCTATCTTGCTACTTTTGAGGGGAGGCTACTTCTGGACTGTTTTTCTGTAATATGTACTTGTTTTTAATAATCCGTATGATTGTACAGCTATACAATTTTAAGCCTTTTATACATGTAACTAACAGCGTAATGAAGAAAAGATTGCACTGTTATCAATTGGATGTTTGAGAATCCATAGCACTTTTAGATTTAGTTTTGATTACGTGTTCACTGCTGTGGTTGGGTAATGTGATACACTGTCACCCACTCAGTCAGTGGGTACATTCAACTGAGTGGGGACTCCAACTCAAAAGTGTTGCATTCCACTGGACTATTTTTCCTAATGGGAAGCCGTAAAAACGTCCGAATTGTAAGTCGTCTGGAATGTGGCAAAACAAAGACCACACCCTTCTGTGATAACAGAAGAGCGTGTTTATCAACTGAACGTCAAGTAACTTCATCAAGTAACCTCAAAGTAGTCAGATTACAGTACAACAAAGAAGGTACTCTGCTTTTCTTCAACTTTGCACAAAGGATTAGGGCTACCTGTTCACTCCACGCAGACCACAGGCGTGAATACGAGTGTGAATGACTGTTCTTTTTTTTTTACGTGACCCAGTACAGGACTAATTACAGCTGGGATTGACTCCAGCTCTACCCACGACAATGAAAAGGATCAATGTGTGTGGAATCAATTAGTCAATATTGAATCTGTCGTCGCTTAACTCTCAAGATGAAAACGTATACTGTAAGACTGAATTGAAAATGATGAGTTATTTTTCCTGTGTCCTTCACAGCAAGAGTGGTAAGAACAGCAGTGAGCGTGTGGAGCGAGCGACCGCCTGACGCAGGTCAGCTGTGCTTCGTATTTGTTTCCATGTCATATTTTACATCACAGGTGTTTCGGATGTTCTGATTATTTTTCTACATCCAGGCAACGATGAGGTGAGCAGTGTGGTGTCCAATGAGCCTGATGTGGAATACACAGAGGTGGTGCATCCACAGCCCCTCGACACTGTCAGAGGTAAAAAAAAACAAAAAAAAAAACCTCCTCTGATTGTTGAAATTTTCTTTACTTTACTTTATCTTTTTATATCTATCTTAAAAGGATATATCTATCTTAGCATTTATTATTTTAGTGATGCTCACAGAATGTTTTTTAAAAATCTAGCCTGTTGTTGGACCAACTTTTATTTTGGTTTCTGATGTAATGTGTTTTTGCTGACTTTCGGCTGCTATTTGACTCTCTATCCATTCGTTTGTTTTTCACCATTTAATCCTTTTCTTGGTCTGGGAGGAGTTAAGCCAATCCCAGCAGTTGGTGAGTGTTGGGTGGGTCGCTAAAACAAATTCCTTGCAAGCATATTAGCCTCCGTCTTAGCTAACATTAAGATATTTTGTGAGATAGTACGGAGTTAGTACGTTTAAAACAAATAAATGCTTGAAGAATTAGTGGCAAAAATATTCAAAAATCCTTTAAATACCAGGAAACACCATCATCGAAACAAATAAATACAAGCTTGAAGAATTAGAGGCAAAAATATTCAAAAACCCTTTAAATACCAGGAAACACCATCATCAATTTATATGTTAAAATCCTTTAAAAAAAAAATCAAATAAAGTTCTCACTTTTTCTAAGTAGGTTTTTTTCTTTGTCTGTAACATGGCTGCTCTTTTTGGAATCACATTACAAAAAATATTTTTTCCCCTCTTTGCCCACATTTTTCCGCAACTGATAAGGCTAAGGAGGGGCCTAATTACCCATAAGTGGTGCATCTGCAGGTTTGTGTAAATGCACAGATAACTGCAGAGCCTATAAACAGGAAGGGTTGAGCTAATTACCCCTTCTGGTCTCTGATACTGGCTCCTTCTTCTTCTTCTTTATCGTCCCGTTGCCCCGCTCCCTGTGGACCAGGGATGGCAGTAACGGGGTGTGACATAAGCCAGTTATTTTTAGCATTGTTTCCGAATGACAGAGGTTTTTCCTTTGATGTCGAAGCAGACTAATGTGTTCTTTTTCTTGGTCGCCAGCTCCTTTAAGAAAAGGCACGGACACGGTGTACAGCGAGCTGAAAAATCCTCCACATGGTGAGTTGGAATAAATTGGAAACGAGCAGTAACAGAGACAGAGGATTATGATTGGACCAATCCAGTTGGCTAATAAATTGTATTCTCCAGGCCAGTAGGTCTACACCGGTGACATTCAAACAGCAGCCTGCGGTCAGCGACCTGCTAGTCACGTATTTCTGAACTGTGGACCCTAATTTAAAACTAAGAGAAATAAATAGCTCTGTGCCACCTACAGGTGGTGACAAAACAATAAGAAAAACCCCAAGTAACGAAAAAGGTTTGTTGCTTCTGAGTCACAACCCAAAAAAACCTCCATTAAGGAAAAGGTTTGTTGCTTCTGAGTCACAGAATGTTTGGTTTGAACAGCTTTAAAAAAAATCTGTCAGTCTGTTATCAAAAATCATTCCCTATGTAAATATTTTAATTTGCCGATGAGTCATCAACCAACTCGAAACCATTACCACTTCCTGTTTCTCCTGGTAGGAACTTCCTGTTATTAGATCAGCAGCCAGACACAGACATCACACC